AGTAGTTCCAATAGGTAATTCATGGACCAAAATTTACTTCCAATTACAATTAAATAGTAGTGCTCCATTTAAATTGAAACCACTGATATCCACATTCTCCAATTGCGATCCATGAAAATTACATCTAACAAAATTTGCACCATATAAACTAGTATTTTTGAGCCTAATATCTTCAAAGCTTTGATTGGTTAGATCAACCTTCATCTGCACTAATAAGCTCAATCCATTTGACCCACTTTAGATAAATCTTTCATCTATACTAGTTAATTGTACTAAAAATTTAAGAAAATCTAAGATTGTCTTATATATTTAGATCTTCTTAATGAGAATGAGTCTTTCCTTTTCATAAGTTTCAATGGAAAAGTTATTTTGATTAAATTGATGTTCTTAAATATTCTTTAAAATATGTGCAATCTTCACAATTTTCTTTTTTACTTCTATGAAGTTATTTTTTTTATTAGTGGAAATTTCATCGAGCTTTTGATTATCTAAGTTATGAAAAAATCCTACAATATCTTAAAGTTTCTCTTTTTTAAGTAATTAGAATATCTCTATGAATTTTGATTCATCTATCCCTTTGACTTAGACTAAAATGACATAAATATCATCTTTTTTTAATAATCTTCGTCTTTTTCATCAATCTTTAATTATTTCTGATTACAATTTTTGCTTTCCTCTTTATTTGATTTAAATTATTGAATATTAGAATCCAATTTCACCGTATTTTTCATTTCTTTTTTTATTTTTTCATTAAATGCCTTATTTTATTAGCCCCACCAACTATTTGCCTTTTCTAATTTTGCCAAATAAAGGTTTTTCTAAACTTTCCGTAAATCTAATGTGTTTCCTTCTACAATTTATACTAATTGCTCTAAATCAGAGTAGGACGACCCTATTATATTTGTATTAAAAATATTCAAATATGATTTATTTTACTCCTCAATCATATCGTATATTTATCGTATTGATTACGATAATTCTTCCCAAATTTTTTTCAGCATGGTTTCAATTTGAGAGAGAATGGTTTTAAAATTCATTCTCTATTCAGTTAATTGAGTTGTTTGTAGTTGTTTGAATTCTTTTTATTTCTATATCAACATTTCTTGAAATATTTCAATCGGAACAGTACATTTCTAATCTACTCCATGTTCATATTGGCATACAGCACACAGTTTCCTTTAACATTAACATTTGTGCTAAGCTATACAGATTGATTATATCTGTTTGTTAATATGATAAGTAGATATTTCTTCCATTATCCCATGTATTATATTAAGTATTTATGGAAAAATTAATAAGAGTAAGCTTAAATAAGTTAAGACAATTTGAAATTGATTGTATTTAAAATTGAAAAGAAACAAAAAATAAAAATTGAGTATTATATCCAATAAAGTTAGACCAGGGCTAATTGAAGGTTTGACATTAAATGATTAAATATTGAAGAATCTATTTATAATTTACTTAGTATGTTATTCATAAGAGAGAATTAATGAAATATAAATAGAATTTGAAGATTAATATGATGTCAGATAGTTTTAAGTTCATGCATAACAAGAGTTTGGAGACCAGATTTGATTACGCGATTGGATTTAATTCTCTCATCATTTGGTCAATCTGACCAGGGAAGGATCAAAGAAAATAAATATATTAGAAAACTATTTGAATATGCTTATTTATTTAGAAATAAGCTAAATTCATTTTAAGAATATATGGAAACACCTTTTAAGATTTATAAATGACTGAAAAATAAGCTCATACTCTTATTATAGGATTAGTAAAACTATTCGAGAGTGTAGAATTATTATAATGGAATGAATAAGCTATTTAATAATTATTTCCATCTACAATTGATTAATAATTAGCTTAATCATTAACAGATTGAATGAATGTAATATATTTTGAAACTCTAATTATAGTATGTGATAAAATTACAAATAGAGAAATATGTTAAGCAGACTCTTTGATTGATATTGATTGGAGAGTAGATATCTAAATTTAGACACTTAATTAATAAAAAGTATTTTTGTTTATAATATAACAATAATAATTAATATGCCTGTCTTATTCCTATTATTAGAGACTTTGAATATTTAAAAAATACAAAGGAGAATGTGATATTTTAGCTTAATTAAAATGAAGTTAATAATTTTCACAACAATTTGTGTAAAATTAAAGAATAATTATAAACTTTAGCATAGAGATTATTATTTATATAAAATTTTTAAAAAAAAGGCAGAAAAAGTCAAAATTCTTATATTAGGTGTAGGTGCTGTAGGCAAGTCATCCTTTTTAAATCGTTATGTTGATGAAAAGTTTTCTGAAAATATATAGGCTACATTAGGAGTAGAGTATAGATCGGAAAATATTAATATAAGGACAATTAAGTCACTGTTTAAGTTTGGGATACAGCAGGTAAACTAAGATTTTAAATTACTTAGGTTATGAAAGATTTAGAGTTATTACTCCTATATTTTATAGAAATCATAAGGAGTGTCTTTAGTTTATAGTGTTGTTGATAAGAATACAAATTAATAAGTTTAAACTTGGATTGATAATTTAAAAGAATAAATTGATTGTGAATAGATATCTATAGTTTTAGTAGCAAATAAATGTGAAATTTCATAAAGAGAAGTAACTACAAAAGTATATTTTTGTTTATTCTAGTACTAAATAAAATATTTTGAATGCTCTACAAGAACGGGGGCATAACTTAAAGAAATGAATATAGAATTAGTTTAATAAATACTTGTTAGAAGAGGATAAAATCAAAATACTTAAAGTGGAGAAAAAATTAAAAACAATATTATAATTGATGGAAATAAAACTTAACCTAAGAAAAGTTGTTGATTAAATTTAAATAAAAATTGATAAAAAAATTTATTATCAAATTTAATCCTATTTTATAGAATTATATTTTCATTAATTGTTTCTGTTCAATTCAATTTTTTAAATTAATAAAATAGAA